ATCATTTGTCAAGAAGCTTTAATGTGTAGTGGGGTCGGTTGATGTTTCCTCTTAGTATCTACAGAAACCCTAGTTTAATGGTAAAGTATAGGAAAAGGTATAAAGAATATGTATGATTAGAATAATCAGCATATAGGCTTTTGGTATGTCTTTGGGTGTTTTTTGGGCATTTTATATAATTGGGTGTTTGCACATCATATACACTTGTGCAACTAAAGTTGTTAGCCCCAACAAAGTTATACTATTTTATGTTAATTTTACACTAAGTATTAGAAAAATGTTGTAATGGAAGATGTATGGATGTGTTTTTCCTTGTGGGAATTCCCTTTTCTTAAGCTGCTATTTTATAACTATTACAACTTTCGAATAAGACATTTATATTAGAGAGAGATAAACACATTCACATAGAGATAAGAAAAGTCTAAAAGATAATAGTACACATATTAGACTCCATAATTCTCTACACGGCTCGTCAACTTGAAATGAAACCAATATAAAGGTAGTTACTTTAAATTTAGTTTATACGACAGAAAATCTGTTGCTGATAGACTTGATTACAATATCGACAAAAGTAATTAGAGGTATAATATTAAAAAGTAACCATCAATATAATAAATAGAGGTATAATATCAAAAAAAAAAAAATTTCTAATACCATAAACATGTCCCTGTTGATCGATACATTAAAACTTTCAAAGATAGGAATGTAAGAAATCAAAATCTTGATTTTGGTAAGAATTGGCCTAAACACAATCTTATAAGAATCAAGTGTGGACAACTAGACAAGAGCTAATTGGTTGAAAGAATGGGACTTTTTTATTCATGGTGTGTATAAATTTAAGATGTAGAGATATGGTGATTCAATGACAAATAATTAGAGGAATCATATTTCTTACATTCTAAAGTTTGTGACTTTTAATAATTCATCCTTGCTAAAGTTTTACTAACAATTTTTTTTCTGGGTATAATAGGCTCTACTTGTAGTCATAAAATAGATTTGGCAATTTTATTCCAAAAGTCTACATTTTATGTCAAAATTTGCTTACTCACTCTTTTTTTTTAATTGTCAGAGTATTCGGATCAGTTTATGCGTACCTTGTGTAATTCCTCCCCGATTCAGTCATAAACAGACCATCCATACCGGAACTAATGTATTAATGAGAGATAAATCTCTCGTGACCTAATTCCAACGAATTACTAAAATTTAAATTCAGAATGTCCGTGTTTATATCTCATTTTTATTATCACTTGAATTATCCTTTAGAGTTTCCCTCGCTCACTCAAATTAGTCAACGTAGTCATTTAGTTATGAGAAACTTTGAATATCATACTAATTAAATTTTTTGCTATTTTTTCTTCTGAAAAAAAATACACTAATTATTAGTTTTATTACACAACTTATCATAATTCCTGTTTTGGTTGTTACAGTCTCAAAGTGGGTAAGTTTGGTTAAAGAAGAATGAAGTCTTATTCAAGAATTTTATAGGGCATATTTTTGTGATCATCCAATACTATATTAATTAAGAATGTTAAATTATAGTTTAGTAATTCTAAATATGATGAATTCAAACACAACCCAAATCCAAATACCCAAAAAAAAAAAAAGAATGTGTAAACATAACATGATAAAGAGGAGACGATGGTTAATTATTATCTCCTAATAGAACTCATGCTCATGGTAAAAAGAAAGTATTAAAACAAAGGGAAGATAGGAAGGATTACCATTGTTCATTGACACTACTACCATTGTTCATTGATTGCATCCATGACCTAATTGGAGACTTTTGATGCTTCTTCTCTTCTTGTTGATGTTAGTCACACCCATCAAACAGTTATCTCCTAGTTCTACCATTTATAAACATTACCCGTTAATTTCATGTGAAATTTTATGTACAAAAACTATCGTTTTTATATTTTTTTAGCACAACATATTGGACCCATCTACCTTCCGACTTTTAATTTTTAATTCTTTGATTACTTTTTTGGATTATTTATTATAAATTCAAATTCAAATGAAAAAAATATAATATGAAGAGGGTGATTTTTACTTTTGTAGGAAAATAAATCTATCCCTTATAATTTTTTATCGAGAATATCTCTTTTATTTACGTTACACTATTATTGTATTATAAGGGAGAGAGAAAGATAATATAATTTGAATTCACGACCTTAAGATCTAATGACTAGAAATCGACAACGCTAATTTTTTTTCTACTGGAGAAATGAAATTAGGAAAAATTTGTTGCAATTAGGGTGGGATAAAAATAAGATGGTAGAAAGTAAAAAAAAAAAATCGATCTACCTAAAGAGAAAATAAGAGGGAGATAATAAACATAAGTTTGGACAGTGGGTTATGATTGTCAACATAATAATTTTGTCGTCTTGTGGGAGAAGGGGAGCGTTTCTTCAGGTAATTTCTAAAGGAAAAGGGGGCTAAAACTGACATTTAACATGTACATGATAAAAATCAGGAATAAATAATGGAGAAAAAACGAGGCCCTGTAGGGTAGGTATAGGATAGGACAGCTTTGTATCTCTATCTTTCCTCTGTTACTTTCTCTCTCTCTCTGCCCTTCTCTCTCTCTCTCGCTCTCGCATATTCACAGAAGGGAGGTGAATCGTGCTGTTAATGGTACAAACCTGCTTTTTGGTGGAGAGAAGAACCTGATGCCCCTTTTGATGTGTGAGTGGGTGGTGCTGTTTTCTCATCAACTGTGTCTCTCTCTCTCCCTCTCTCTCCTTGTTTTCTAGTCTGCTATATCCGATACTTTTTCTTCCCTACGGCTCCATTTTCTCTCGCATTTTCCATTCAAAACTGTCCCAGAAAAAGCTCCAAAAGAAGGAGGTTTGTATCCGATATCAACCGATTTCTTTTATTTTGGGTTTTCTTTGACCTCAAACAGGTTTTTTTCTTGGGTATCAGTCTTCTTGATTCAGTGTCTCTTTGGGTTTTGAGCATTTTTCTTATTTTTTTTGTTCCGTTTTGGGTTTTTCTCGAGACCCAGTTTGATTGTACCTGAGATCCTGCCTCTCTTATGTTTTCTTCGAGATTTCTCGGTGAATACTTGTACTTGTGCACTAATTAATGTTTTTAGCTGCAATACAAACTGCATAAGTTTTGGAACTGGAGCTTCTTTTAATTTCTTCATCCGTTCACCGTGGTTTTTTTTTTTAGCTTCTTTTCAGCGTTCTAAGGGACGCGTTAGTCTTTCTCGTTTTCTTCAATCAGAATAAACAAATCTGGTCTTTGGGTTTACACTAGATTTTGCCATATATGGTCATATGCTACTGTTCACTCAGACGACTGAAGATTTGATTTTTGGGGTTTCTTCCAACTCTCTCAACTCTTTTACCCTGTATAATCTCTCTCCGGTGACGTTGATTTTGAGTTTGTGTTGTATCATATTTGCGTATTGAAGTGTGAGATTTTCTGTTCATCGTAGAAATCTTTCGGTTCTTCTCCTTCTGCTTGAAAACCCATCTTGATTTACTTTCTGTATATTTGTTTGAAAGAAGTGAGCAACTTCTTCTTAGTTGTTTTCCATCTGGTGAAGCTTTTCTATATTTATCTACTTTGTCTGGCCTTACCCACATAAAATAACGCTTCTTGAAGTTTGATCTTTAGACACATCTTTGCTTGTGGGTTTTGATCTTTTCCAATTTTGTTCTTTCCTTGTTCAATCAGCCTCTCAAATGTTTGTGATTATGAAGTACATATAGATTCTTCATATTTACTCCTCCCAATCACATAAAATAACGTTCTGGAGGGGTCTAGAATCTTCTTGNTTGTTCAATCAGCCTCTCAAATGTTTGTGATTATGAAGTACATATAGATTCTTCATAGTTACTCCTCCCAATCACATAAAATAACGTTCTGGAGGGGTCTAGAATCTTCTTGTNAAGTTGGTAGGGTCTTTCATCTTGCAATGCTCATTGCTTTATGCCAGAAACATTAGAAAATAAGCATCAATTATTATTTTTTTTCCCCTTGCTATGAATTTTAGGCTCAAATTTTCACAATCAAAGCACAAGCCACATAGAGAACCCAGAATAAAAAAAACCTTTACTATGGGTTGGTGTGAGATCATAACAACTCATAGGCTNGTCAACGTAGTCATTTAGTTATGAGAAACTTTGAATATCATACTAATTAAATTTTTTGCTATTTTTTCTTCTGAAAAAAATACACTAATTATTAGTTTTATTACACAACTTATCATAATTCCTGTTTTGGTTGTTACAGTCTCAAAGTGGGTAAGTTTGGTTAAAGAAGAATGAAGTCTTATTCAAGAATTTTATAGTGCATATTTTTTTGATCATCCAATACTATATTAATTAAGAATGTTAAATTATAGTTTACTAATTCTAAATATGATGAATTCAAACACAACCCAAATCCAAATACCCAAAAAAAAAAAAAAGAATGTGTAAACATAACATGATAAAGAGGAGACGATGGTTAATTATTATCTCCTAATAGAACTCATGCTCATGGTAAAAAGAAAGTATTAAAACAAAGGGAAGATAGGAAGGATTACCATTGTTCATTGACACTACTACCATTGTTCATTGATTGCATCCATGACCTAATTGGAGACTTTTGATGCTTCTTCTCTTCTTGTTGATGTTAGTCACACCCATCAAACAGTTATCTCCTAGTTCTACCATTTATAATATGAAGAGGGTGATTTTTACTTTTGTAGGAAAATAAATCTATCACTTATAATTTTTTATCGAGAATATCTCTTTTATTTACGTTACACTATTATTGTATTATAAGGGAGAGAGAAAGATGATATAATTTGAATTCACGACCCTAAGATCTAATGACTAAAAATCGACAACGCTAATTTTTTCTACTGGAGGAATGAAATTAGGAAAAATTTGTTGCAATTAGGGTGGGATAAAAATAAGATGGTAGAAAGTAAAAAAAAAAAAAAATCGATCTACCTAAAGAGAAAATAAGAGGGAGATAATAAACATAAGTTTGGACAGTGGGTTATGATTGTCAACATAATAATTTTGTCGTCTTGTGGGAGAAGGGGAGCGTTTCTTCAGGTAATTTCTAAAGGAAAAGGGGGCTAAAACTGACATTTAACATGTACATGATAAAAATCAGGAATAAATAATGGAGAAAAAACGAGGCCCTGTAGGGTAGGTATAGGATAGGACAGCTTTGTATCTCTATCTTTCCTCTGTTACTTTCTCTCTCTCTCTGCCCTTCTCTCTCTCTCTCGCTCTCGCATATTCACAGAAGGGAGGTGAATCGTGCTGTTAATGGTACAAACCTGCTTTTTGGTGGAGAGAAGAACCTGATGCCCCTTTTGATGTGTGAGTGGGTGGTGCTGTTTTCTCATCAACTGTGTCTCTCTCTCTCCCTCTCTCTCCTTGTTTTCTAGTCTGCTATATCCGATACTTTTTCTTCCCTACGGCTCCATTTTCTCTCGCATTTTCCATTCAAAACTGTCCCAGAAAAAGCTCCAAAAGAAGGAGGTTTGTATCCGATATCAACCGATTTCTTTTATTTTGGGTTTTCTTTGACCTCAAACAGGTTTTTTTCTTGGGTATCAGTCTTCTTGATTCAGTGTCTCTTTGGGTTTTGAGCATTTTTCTTATTTTTTTTGTTCCGTTTTGGGTTTTTCTCGAGACCCAGTTTGATTGTACCTGAGATCCTGCCTCTCTTATGTTTTCTTCGAGATTTCTCGGTGAATACTTGTACTTGTGCACTAATTAATGTTTTTAGCTGCAATACAAACTGCATAAGTTTTGGAACTGGAGCTTCTTTTAATTTCTTCATCCGTTCACCGTGGTTTTTTTTTTTAGCTTCTTTTCAGCGTTCTAAGGGACGCGTTAGTCTTTCTCGTTTTCTTCAATCAGAATAAACAAATCTGGTCTTTGGGTTTACACTAGATTTTGCCATATATGGTCATATGCTACTGTTCACTCAGACGACTGAAGATTTGATTTTTGGGGTTTCTTCCAACTCTCTCAACTCTTTTACCCTGTATAATCTCTCTCCGGTGACGTTGATTTTGAGTTTGTGTTGTATCATATTTGCGTATTGAAGTGTGAGATTTTCTGTTCATCGTAGAAATCTTTCGGTTCTTCTCCTTCTGCTTGAAAACCCATCTTGATTTACTTTCTGTATATTTGTTTGAAAGAAGTGAGCAACTTCTTCTTAGTTGTTTTCCATCTGGTGAAGCTTTTCTATATTTATCTACTTTGTCTGGCCTTACCCACATAAAATAACGCTTCTTGAAGTTTGATCTTTAGACACATCTTTGCTTGTGGGTTTTGATCTTTTCCAATTTTGTTCTTTCCTTGTTCAATCAGCCTCTCAAATGTTTGTGATTATGAAGTACATATAGATTCTTCATATTTACTCCTCCCAATCACATAAAATAACGTTCTGGAGGGGTCTAGAATCTTCTTGTTTTCCTTGTTTCCTTACTTCTCCCTTGAAAAACCTGATCTTATGTTCACCTTCTCAAATCTTGCAGGCTGATAAATGAAGAAAAAGGCTGTGTTTATTAGTGGGTTTGTTTGATCTTATTGCTGAGTGGTGGGGTTTGGAGCTTGTGAGAGGCCTACTGTTATGCTGAAGGCTAAGTATAAGACAAGGCCTAGTTGTGGAGAAAGGAGTTGTTCTTGTGACTGTTGGCAAGACAGCACAAGAAGAGAGAAGCTTATCAGCAGATGTTATCCATTGAAAACCCTCTACCAGATCCGGCGTGTCCTTGTGAAATCTCACAACTGAAAAGTAGTGATGAGAGGGCTTCTGATAAGCTTGCGTTGCAAGAGGTAGATCTGTTCAAGTCAGGCCTCGATGACCACAACCCACTGCCCAAGTTCTCTATAAGGTAAACAAAAACTTTCAATTCTTTTCTGCTTTTACTTTGGTTGTTTTACCTTGGGATCTTTCTACCCATCTGAGATTTTCTTGTGTCACATCCACAGTTGTATGGTGCTGATTGTGATTCAGTCCACGATGGGGCTAGTCTCAGATTCCACCAAGCCCATCTTGTCTCTGATTTGTTCCTGCTTAATTTTAGCTTATTTACCTATTCTCAGCTGGTTGTGGCTTTTAGATAGTCTTCCATGTCTAGTAAAAGTTCTGGATTTTTTTCTGACCAGCTTAAGACTGTCAAATTTTAGCGGCTGTTCTGGATCATATTGTTTGTGGTGATTTTATGTCACTTTGTGTTTATACTAGATTCATTGATCTGAGGGTGGATTGTTCTACACCTCTTGCAAATCAGCCCCACTTTGTCTGACATTAAAGATATATCCCATATTTTGACCCCTAGCTATCTGTATTTTCTGTTTTGATTGGATCATAGGATTTCCTTGCTACTTTACATATTTGGCGTCGGATCTTCAAGCTAAATGTTTCTGTTTCTCTCTGATTCATGTCTTTCCATGAAAATCCATGGATCCATTTGTCTAGTTTTTCACAAATGATATTGGGTTCTCTTTACCTTCACAGCGCTTTCATTCGAACCATGTACAGTTATTTAAGTTGAAGCTGTATGTAATTAATGCTTGAGGTTGTACACACATGTTTGATCTAAATCATTTGAATAATTGGGTTTTTGTTGCAGAGACTATGTTTTTAGAGTCCGGAGCAAGGATATCAAGACGAACTGGCCTTTTACTCAGAAGAATTTGCAACTTTGTCTGAATCATGGCTTGACAGATTTGTTGCCGCCTTTCCAGCCTCTTGATCCTGTGAGAAGCCAATCCACAAAGAGATGCACAGTGGAATGTAGGTCACTTGACAATGAAACTATAAGCATTCCCAATGGTGAACCTTCTAGGCGAAGCAATAATCTTGGGTCACAGACTTCCGATGATGCTGGACGTAGCCAGAAGCTAGCAGTGGATTGTGTACATATAAATACAAGTGGATCTGACGGAGATAAAGAATTTCAATCGAAAGCAACTGTTCAATCTCCTTCTGAAATAGACTCAGTTCCCACAAATAGAAGCCCTTACTTGGAGCTAGAAACTGATACTTTGTTGGAATCCTTAGAAGCAAAAGTTGAGCCTGCAGCTCCTCCTGAATCTCACAAGATTGAAAGCACAGTTCGACACCCGGTTAAGAAGTGCAGATTGATTTTCAAATTGAGTAGCGTTGCTGATCCAAGCTCAAAGGAAGATAGTGCACCTACCAATCTTATGGTCTCAGAAACAATGGCTTCGAAAGTGTGCCCAGTTTGCAAGAATTTCTCCTCCTCTTCCAACACCACCTTGAATGCTCACATCGACCAGTGCCTTTCTGTTGCGTCAAATGTTAACTGGACCGCGAATTCTAAGGTGGTTAAGCATAGAATAAAACCAAGGAAGACAAGATTGATGGTGGATATCTATGCAACTGCCCCATACTGTACCTTAGAAGAGCTTGATAGAAGAAACGGAACAAACTGGGCCACAAACTCAAGTTTTCCTGCTCAAGAGATTGAGTTGTGTGCCGAAGAGGAAGAGCAGAAAGTTTCACCTGTTACTTTTGAGGACACTGATAATGAAGATGGAGTCTACATTGATGCTAACGGCACAAAAGTTCGGATATTATCGAAGTTTAGTAACGTGTCACCAGTGTTAAAATTAGCAGACAATCCTGGACCTTCAAAACTTTTGAAGGGAGGTAACGGAAGCAAATTCCTTTCAACCAAGAAGAAAAAGTCACATAAACATCGCGAGTTCTTGAAACTTGCTCCTCAAAGTAAAGCATTCGGCTTTCCCAAGCCTCGTGGTGGTTCNAAAGTCACATAAACATCGCGAGTTCTTGAAACTTGCTCCTCAAAGTAAAGCATTCGGGTCTCCCAAGCCTCGTGGTGGTTTTGAGGTATATGACTTTTGCTTCTAGTTTGTGCTTTTGGTTTTAACTGATGATAATTGTAGTTGGTCGTCCTTTTAACTGGCTATATTCTGTGTTAGTAGACCAAGGAAACTTGTTCAGTGGATGGTTTGCCAATAGATTCCTAGAAGAAGAATGACAGAATNTCCCAAGCCTCGTGGTGGTTCTGAGGTATATGACTTTTGCTTCTAGTTTGTGCTTTTGGTTTTAACTGATGATAATTGTAGTTGGTCGTCCTTTTAACTGGCTATATTCTGTGTTAGTAGACCAAGGAAACTTGTTCAGTGGATGGTTTGCCAATAGATTCCTAGAAGAAGAATGACAGAATCTTAACTAATGTATTCATATGTCTCAACAATTGTTGTTTATCATGTGGTCTGAAACCATAAAAACTTAAAATGTTACATTTTGGGACTGAATGATTTCCCTGCATGATCCAATAAAGTTATATTGGTATCAGGTGCTGTGGCTTCAGTTTGATTCCTTAAAGTTGAGTCAAAGAAAGAACGATGCTGGATTTGTGTAACACAGATTTTTAAGTTTATGTTTCTTAGTCATGCTTTTTCTCTATACAGTTTGCCCTTCAATCAAAAGAATAAAATGCCTCCTTCAGTTTTGTTATAAAATCAAAAGTATAAATCCATTTTACTGCTGTAATTACCCATGTGGTGGTTAAATTTTTTATGAACAGGTTCTTTCTGGTCAGAAAAGAGATTTTGCTGCAGAGGTCAGACAGGAGAAAAATGGGCGCTGCACACAGCGCTTTAAGGCTCAAGAACAGCTCGAACTCAATGATCCAGGAACTATTAGACAATGGGTAGGTTCTAAGCGAAGTTGTCTCACAAAGAAGACCAGTGTTAAAGATGACCTTCAGCGCTCAAGGTATAATGTGACACAGGAATTGCTTGTTGAAAGTGATCAATGTCCTTTATATGTGGAGAGAAGCTGTGTTCCGAAATCCCCAACTGCATCTGAAAATCCAGTTTCTTCTCCGTTGAGCAACAAGAAAATCGAGACGTCGTCATATGAACCTCAGACAGATGAATATGAGGAACAGCCTGCTCCAAGAAAGAAAATTGGGTTTTCCTCTATGGGGTCTCGGGTACATGGAGATGGGAAGACGTCTCTTGTACTACCCAATCAGACCGTGAAGCAGTTGAGAAAAGATGGCACCTATTTGCGTGGTGGTTGCAAGGGTCATAAAAAACATACAGGAAAGCATGGGTCTTCTCCAAGCAACATGGAAGTTGAGATGAGTGCAGGTCCACCCAAAAGCTCTGATAGTTCTATTTTTGACTTAAAATTGTCAAACAGTCATCATGCACTTTCATCGAAAGCTAAGAAGTTCTCATCTTTGAGGAAGAATCTGTTGTCAGTCAACCAAGCATCTGTGCCTGAATGCAAATCTAATTTCAAGAGAAAAAGTTCAGCCCCTAAGAAGTCTCTGGTGCATTGCATATCAAAATTTGATAAAGATGTGGTGGCATGGCAATCTAAAGTGGACCAACAGCATGATTTGATTCAAAAGAAAACTGAGAAGCAGTCTCTTGGTACAACTGGAGTTCTGAAAATCAAAAAGAAGAGAATAGAAGTAAACATCTCTAGAGAGGAGGAAGCAATGTCTTTGAAGAGTTCGTCATTTGCACCCGAGTGTCATGGTAATGATGTGGGTGAAAACATAGATTCTTCTGCCAGAGTGAGCAGTGCTTTGGTAGATACATCAAATGATGTAGAACATGTTAGAAGTGAGGTTCAAACTCCTGGCAAGGATGATGTTACTGAACCAGTAGCCAGCATGGCCGTCAGAGAAAGTTTTATGGGTCTGGGCAAATCTTTACATCCGGGATTTCATGAGCTGGATAGTCCTGGTGCTCAATATGATTCTCTGCATGGGATCGAAGTATATAGGGGACGTTTTTGTGGAGCCGAAGCATCAATTTGTCCGAATGAGTCGGGTTTTGGTAATGGACATGGGATGATTTGTGGGGATGTAGTTGGTAATGTTGTGATTGGCGAGAACACTCATATGGAAACAGTATCGGACTCTAAAGATGGGGAAGGAAGTTACTTACCTGAGGTTGATCCAATTCTTATTCCTGGGCCGCCTGGATCCTATTTGCCTAGTCCTGGGGGTACAGACTCGGATGATCTTCAAGGAAATTCATCATTAACCACAAGCATGGTTCAATCTTCTGAAGATAACCATGATGTGGTTGATAGAGATTCTTCAGATTCTCCTATTTCTGAAACATCAACTGTCTCTAGCTCTGCTGTGGCAAGATCTGATTCAAAATCCTCAGAGCTGTCCGTAGGACAGCAGGCTGTCAAAGACGAGATCAGGACAAGCTTCTCAGGTGCTAGTGTCGATCCTGGTATGGAAAATTCTATCCCATTTCCACAGGCTGTTAACTTAGGAAAGGAAAAAATCAATCTAGAGGATTTGAGAACCAATGTGCTCTTAATTGATAAGGGGCCTCTCAGTTTCAAAAATGATCAGCCATGCTGTTGCTCACGGAAGGAAGCAGCATCTCAGGGTTTCGCTTTAAATTATCAAGATTCACCACTTTTAAGGCGACGGACCACGGCTTCACTGCCATTGACTGCCTCCGGCAAGCAAATGATTTGTGATCCAAACACAAGACACAACAGTTTGAACTCGAGGTCTGAAATGTTTTCACTCAGCAACTACCCAACTTCAGCAACTGAAAAGGTGGCTATACCTACCTTGAAATCACCTGCTGGGCATGTTCCTGTGACAGTTTCTGCTGATTCTGAGGTAAAGTTCCCAATTGATGGTGATCATGATTCTGGCAGTCCATCTGTTTCAAATTCTGTTCTCAGGTTGATGGGGAAGAACTTAATGGTGGTCAACAAAGATGGAGATGCATCCCCAAAACTTAGACAGTCCCAGTCTCAGATGATGAATGACCACGCAAAGCCACAGTTTTGCTCGGTTTCTGGTGTCCCTCCTTGCAATGTTCAAAATAAGGGCTGCAATCCTGTAAATCATGTGGTTTCTCGAAGTTCTTTTGTGTTCAACCAGAATCAACTTAACACAGCAGTGCAACCTTTTGATGTTACGTTATCAAATAGTTCCAGAAGCCATGTTGATTTTAAGACACCACAAACAAATTCTCGTGCGTCAGAGGCCATGTTTTCTGTGGAGAATGTAGCTACCGGTTTTACAGCATCTTCAGATGGTCACGACTGCAAAGTTGGACCCACTTTGCCAACTGAACAAAATAGACCCGAGAACCGACTGGATCCATTGGTATATAATGTGGAGAAAATTGCTGCAACTCCTGCCTCTCAACACCGGAATGCAAATTCTACCTCCAATCCTGCTAAGGAGATAATCATCATTGATGATACTCCTGAAAGCGAAGCTGATTTGGCCTCCGATGCAACCTTTAATTCAGGCGTGATAAACGGTTGGGAGGGTTCTTCAGCTGGCCNTCTACCTCCAATCCTGCTAAGGAGATAATCATCATTGATGATACTCCTGAAAGCGAAACTGATTTGGCCTCCGATGCAAACTTTAATTCAGGCGTGATAAACAGTTGGGAGGGTTCTTCAGCTGGCATGTCCATCCCAATGGCCTCCATATATAACTCAAGGCATGTGAATCCTTTTTATGGTTATCAGCCGCAGTTGTCTTCTCCCTACGGTGGATCACCAATGGTGTACAATGCAGGCTTCCAAATGTTAAATTCTGGGGGAGTGAATGTAGGTCCTGTTCGGTGGAATTGCACTGCCGAAGGTACACACATACCACATCCGAGTTCTTTAACAGCTTCATCGTCTTCTACAGGTCATCGGAAATCCACATCCTATTATGCTCCAAGATTTGCATAAACAAGAAGCTTTCCTTGGGATGGCGAATTCCTCAACGCAGGTGCAATACTGGGCTTGGTGGCAAATTAAGAAAGCCTGCAAAAGTTTGTAAAACGAGTTACTTGGTTTTCTTTCATAGACTTTCTGTTCATGGTACTGATAGTTTTGGTGGATTTAAGCAGTTTTAGGCAACGAGAAAGGTTTCTGAAGACTAATGTGTAAGCAAGCAACCTTGGAATAATAAGTTACCTAAGGAAACATTTTCTTTTTTAAAGAGTTTATGAAGTTGAGCATTCATCTATATATATCATCAGTAATTAGGGCTGATTTTCACTTGTAGTATGTACATTATTCGCAGTTTCTGCTATGTTTGTCATCGAGATTGCTTGTACAAAAACAAGATCCATAGACCGAAGATGTCCTCTTTTTCTTTTCTATGCACTTTGTTAGGATGTGAAGTAGTAGAATATCCATTGGAACTCATTGCAGTTGCAGATGATCAGCAATGCCATGCTAAACTGATACATTGATGTTCTGTGCGGCATGTGTTTAGAATGAAGGGATTAATTTGAACGAGATCATAAGCCTGGTTTAAGTTTGGGATGGTTGCATGCAATAACGCCCCCCTCAAGAGTAATTTTTCATGAAAGAGAGAGCACCTCAAAACTGAGATGCGTTTGATGTGACCAGTAGGGTAGTAGATGTTTTATAAAGAGTCATCTTTATGTGACAGTAGTAACACTGAAACGGGACGTCCATGTATAATATTACATCAATTCCCAATTTGAAACTATGGTCGAATCCTCCATTTCTCTATCTCTAACAAAACTACTCCATGCAAAACAAAGTAATATATGTGAATTAATCAACAATCCAAAAACAGACTCTTGTGGACCCAGCTGGGATCACAACAGATATATTTTGCATGATGTATGTACGCCTCAGCTGTCTTGTTCATTGCATAAGTAAATGTGCTTCATCTTTATTCGAAGGCTGGCATAAAGATGGTAGAAGCTGGAGGGCCTTTTAATTGTTGGCTCTCTTCTTGCTCAGTTATGGTCTGTTCTGTATTATTGTATGTAATGAAAGGTAAGGTTTCCACTGAAAAACTCTCTCAAACCTCACATATGCTAAACGTGGGACCCTATTTGCAGAAATGACCCACAAGGAGCGTTAAAAGACATAAACTCCTCTCTCTCTCTCTCTCTATATATATATATAGTACTTGGTTATTTCTTTGACCTTGTTCTTTTTCTTTTTGCCNTCTATATATATATATATATATATATAGTACTTGGTTATTTCTTTGACCTTGTTCTTTTTCTTTTTGCCTTCCCTTTTGCTGCTTCTTTTTGTTCTTCCAAAGGCAGCATAGTAAGTTTATCCAGAGGGGTTTCAAAAACGCACGAAACTAGCTTTGCCAGAACATGAAATATAGCCGTTGCCAGGCCAGGTGATGCTATAAAGAGTACGGACTATTGTGCGTGTGTTTGTGTGTATGCGAGAGTGAGAGTGAGAGAGAGTCAAAAGGAGAGGTGGGTACAAGACAAACAGGTACAATTGGCCGTTGGATTACCAAAATCTTTTGCCATCGGATAACCTTAAATGGGGGGTGTACTATTTACTATGGGCACTCAGTAAACTGTTGCTTGCACTCCACTTCATTATTTATTTTGTGGGTTTGAATTTTAGGGTTATTCGTTTTTTAACCCTAAAGTTTTTTTGTTTTGTAGTGAATATATATATATATATATATTTATATCAGATGGATGACATGATATTGTTGTGGGTTTAATTGGTTGATGGAATATGTGTGGTGGAGTTTGCATGGTGACAGCTTAATAACTCATTTTAACTCTTAAAAAGACTGAATGCTCCAAAGTGGGCCACCCTTTGTCTTTCTCCTTTTCTTCATTATTATGCCCTTCCTGCCTTTCAATAACCCCAAACATTAAAATAATGAAAAGTGGCTTTATTATACTATGAGATTGATGACAAGTCTCCTCGAATCTTTTATTTTCTCTCTCAATTACCCCCCTTCAAACTCTGTTTTTAAACTCTCCCCATGTATTATGAGGAGTATTATAATTGGAAAACTAAGCCTAACAAGATCAATTAGAGTAAGATGTTTTTAGATTGGCATGATCTTTAAGTGATTCCAATTTTTTTTTACAAAAAAGAATGATTTGAGCTTTCACGATCACATTAAAAGTAAGTTATTCACGTCGAAATTAGAGTATTCACGAAAAATAAATTTTTCATAGTTTGATACTAAAGTATTGTCAAGATTCAAATTTATAACATCTGAATTTATAAATCGTCTTTTTTACTACTTAAACTACTTTTTAAAATTAATTAGCTAATAATAATGGTAGACTTCTCCACCCTTGTTTTAATAATTTACCTACCATTAGGTTTGTTAAGTAAACTTGGAGTTAGTTACTTTTCATTTCGCTAACTGGTAGGTGGTCCAAGACCCCTAGTTTTGGCTCCACACGTGTGATTGATGCTTCATGGGTCTAAACCACAAAAAAGGGATGAGTGTTGGGCCTTTATGCTGGACTTTCTATGCTCTCTCTGTAAGCTGAGCCCAAATTCGATGGTGAGAAATTTTCATTGGTGGACCATTCACGAGTTTAGGATGATTTTTGGACAATTTTGGGCCGGCCTTATATGTAGTTCCATCGGGCTTATAACCCCATTCCAGGATGTTACTCATTATGAAAAACAAAAGTCAATTTTTCTTTATCTAAAAATATAAAATAAAATCAAGTCGGTGGTGTGNAATTAGAGTAAGATGTTTTTAGATTGGCATGATCTTTAAGTGATTCCAATTTTTTTTTACAAAAAAGAATGATTTGAGCTTTCACGATCACATTAAAAGTAAGTTATTCACGTCGAAATTAGAGTATTCACGAAAAATAAATTTTTCATAGTTTGATACTAAAGTATTGTCAAGATTCAAATTTATAACATCTGAATTTATAAATCGTCTTTTTTACTACTTAAACTACTTTTTAAAATTAATTAGCTAATAATAATGGTAGACTTCTCCACCCTTGTTTTAATAATTTACCTACCATTAGGTTTGTTAAGTAAACTTGGAGTTAGTTACTTTTCATTTCGCTAACTGGTAGGTGGTCCAAGACCCCTAGTTTTGGCTCCACACGTGTGATTGATGCTTCATGGGTCTAAACCACAAAAAAGGGATGAGTGTTGGGCCTTTATGCTGGACTTTCTATGCTCTCTCTGTAAGCTGAGCCCAAATTCGATGGTGAGAAATTTTCATTGGTGGACCATTCACGAGTTTAGGATGATTTTTGGACAATTTTGGGCCGGCCTTATATGTAGTTCCATCGGGCTTATAACCCCATTCCAGGATGTTACTCATTATGAAAAACAAAAGTCAATTTTTCTTTATCTAAAAATATAAAATAAAATCAAGTCGGTGGTGTGGTGTCAAATCGTATTCGTATCATATTATTTCGGGTTCGTATCGAAAATTAATTAACTCTATTTAAATATATGAATTTCATATTATTCGTGTTTAACACCAACCCAACTAATTTATTATTCCTGTTATATACAGTTTCATGTTGAGAAATGATTTAACTTTAACACGCTAATTTATTATTGATTTTGAATCGTCTTTTTATGTTATGTCAAAAATTATCACCCCTATAAGTCGATGAACTGATTTTCAACTATAAAACTCTTTCATTAGTAGTAGATAATCTATAAAAAAAATTTAAAAGAAAAATAAATTGAGAGAATTTGGTTTCTTTTGAATGGNTTGGACAATTTTGGGCCGGCCTTATATGTAGTTCCATCGGGCTTATAACCCCATTCCCGGATGTTACTCATTATGAAAAACAAAAGTCAATTTTTCTTCATCTGAAAATATAAAATAAAATCAAGTCAGTGGTGTCGTGTCAAATCGTATTCGTATCATATTATTTCGGGTTCGTATCGAAAATTAATTAACTCTATTTAAATATATGAATTTCATATTATTTGTGTTTAACACCAACCCAACTAATTTATTATTCGTGTTACAAGTTGTGTTATATACAGTTTCATATTAAGAAATGATTTAACTTTAACACGCTAATTTATTATTGATTTTGAATCGTCTTTTTATGTTATGTCAAAAATTATCACCCCTATAAGTTGATGAACTGATTTTCAACTATAAAACTCTTTCATTAGTAGTAGATAATCTACAAAAAAAATTTAAAAGAAAAATAAATTGAGAGAATTTGGTTTCTTTTGAATGAACCAATAGAGTAAATATTAAATATAACAGTAATATTATGTCACCATTGATGATATGGTATCACCAATCAATAATAAAATCTCAAATAATAAAGGTAAATCTCACTTGAGCTTGCATGACAGAAAGGTAGAAAATTATTTGTTTATACGACATGTTAGTTATAAATTTTTGTGAGGTCCATCTGCTTATCTGTTTTAGTATTATTANAAATCTCAAATAATAAAGGTAAATCTCACTTGAGCTTGCATGACAGAAAGGTAGAAAGTTATTTGTTTATACAACAGGTTAGTTATAAATTTTTGTGGGGTCCATCTGCTTATCCGTTTTAGTATTATTGNTCGGGTTCGTATCGAAAATTAATTAACTCTATTTAAATATATGAATTTCATATTATTTGTGTTTAACACCAACCCAACTAATTTATTATTCGTGTTACAAGTTGTGTTATATACAGTTTCATATTAAGAAATGATTTAACTTTAACACGCTAATTTATTATTGATTTTGAATCGTCTTTTTATGTTATGTCAAAAATTATCACCCCTATAAGTTGATGAACTGATTTTCAACTATAAAACTCTTTCATTAGTAGTAGATAATCTATAAAAAAAATTTAAAAGAAAAATAAATTGAGAGAATTTGGTTTCTTTTGAATGGACCAATAGAGTAAATATTAAATATAACAGTAATATTATGTCACCATTGATGATATGGTATCACCAATCAATAATAAAATCTCAAATAATAAAGGTAAATCTCACTTGAGCTTGCATGACAGAAAGGTAGAAAGTTATTTGTTTATACAACAGGTTAGTTATAAATTTTTGTGGGGTCCATCTGCTTATCCGTTTTAGTATTATTGGTTGGTGATACCATATTATTTTGCCACATAATATCACCGTTGTAACGAATATTTTAAGAGAATCAATGAGAAAAAGGAAAAAAAAAGAAAAAAAATATACAACCCAAATCTGTAACCCAAATTTATATCTCAAATAAATGAGGACCATTGGATAAGTGGATTTCATTAACTTTTTTAAATGAGATCCATTAATCCAATGATCCCCTAAGAAAATATTCATTACNAAAAAGGAAAAAAAAAGAAAAAAAATATACAACCCAAATCTGTAACCCAAATTTATACCTCAAATAAATGAGGACCATTGGATAAGTGGATTTCATAAACTTTTTTAAATGAGATCCATTAATCCAATGATCCCCTGAGAAAATATTCATTATNATTATTGATTTTGAATCGTCTTTTTATGTTATGTCAAAAATTATCACCCCTATAAGTTGATGAACTGATTTTCAACTATAAAACTCTTTCATTAGTAGTAGATAATCTACAAAAAAAATTTAAAAGAAAAATAAATTGAGAGAATTTGGTTTCTTTTGAATGAACCAATAGAGTAAATATTAAATATAACAGTAATATTATGTCACCATTGATGATATGGTATCACCAATCAATAATAAAATCTCAAATAATAAAGGTAAATCTCACTTGAGCTTGCATGACAGAAAGGTAGAAAGTTATTTGTTTATACAACAGGTTAGTTATAAATTTTTGTGGGGTCCATCTGCTTATCCGTTTTAGTATTATTGGTTGGTGATACCATATTATTTTGCCACATAATATCACCGTTGTAACGAATATTTTAAGAGAATCAATGAGAAAAAGGAAAAAAAAAGAAAAAAAATATACAACCCAAATCTGTAACCCAAATTTATATCTCAAATAAATGAGGACCATTGGATAAGTGGATTTCATTAACTTTTTTAAATGAGATCCATTAATCCAATGATCCCCTAAGAAAATATTCATTACAACGGTGATACGATGTGATAAGGTGATGTGGTATCACCAACTAACAGTACTAAAACAAATAAGTAAATGGAACCCACAAAAATCAATAACTAATATGTCATGTAAACAAATAATTTTTCACCCTCCTGTCATATAAGTCCAAATGAGATTCATCTTTTTCACTTGAAATTTTATTATTAACATGTGATATTATGTCATCAATAGTGACATAACATCACCGTCGCATTATCTCCCTCCTTTGAAATATAAATTTGAGTTACAGATTTTGGTTAAATAGCGTTGCACAAAGAAAAAAGTAGTGATTTTTAAGTGTCGACGTGGCAACACCTTATTGAGCACATTTCCACAACTCCTTCTGAGGTTCAACGTAGAAAATCAGAATTTCCAAACCCGACAGTCTTTAACCTAAACCGACACATCACGAGACGAGGAATGGTTGTTGCGGGGTTGTAATCAAACTGGTCAAAAGTATTCCACGGCTACAATGCTGTCACCAAGCGCCGCCACCGCTACCACTACGATCTACACAACCATTCCAATCTCCGGCACTGACGTCATTTCCCGATCATTCCAAAACGTATCTACCTTCCTCTCACGTAGCCGTCCTTGGCCGGAATTTTTCCCCGCCGTCGGCAACTTCGACCACCCTGGCTCACTCTCCGGGGCCGGACTCCGACTCAAACTCAACTCCAAGTACTTCATCGTGAACTATGCTATCATAATCTTCACCTGCGCTACCTTCTCTCTCATCGGCGTGCCGATCGCGCTGATCGTATATGGTTTGATCTTCTTGCTGTGGCTAGTACTGTATATCTTTCGTGAAGACCCGATGGCTATGTGGGGTCACCACGTGAGTGATCGAGTCGTGACTGTAGGCCTGATCTTGGTCTCGGCGGTGGCTGTTTGGTTCACAGGGGCTTTGACCAATTTGGTAATGGGCACTGGTGCTGGGGTTTTGATTTCGGCTATACATGGAGTCCTGAGAAATCCAGAAGGGTTATTTCTTGATGAAAGCGATGCCATCTCTAACGGGTTGATTGGTTCAAGACCCAGACCAGAGAATTCTCAGAGAGCTGATTTTTCGAATTAGTATTGATTCATTTGGCCCATTCAACTCATTGTTTCTGTGATAATTTTGATCAAAATTCTAACTTCACGAGAAGAAACAAAGAATAGTTAATTTTTATTTTTTGGTGGTTGTTGTTGTTGTTATTGTTGAAGCTTGTCCTTGGAAATAGAGGGAGGGTGGAATTGTTTATGTGTGGGGTTTAATTTGTGGTTTGTAATGTTCTTTTATTTGATTGCTTTCGTTTTGTCAGCAATGCGAGTGCTAAAGATTGTTGGTGTCTCTTATTTTTATCAATTGGGTTTGTTGTATTTGACTGATTTCTGTTGATTCAATGAGAAGATTGAATTTGTTTTTACTTAGTTCTAGTTGAGTCGNTAGAGGGAGGGTGGAATTGTTTATGTGTGGGGTTTAATTTGTGGTTTGTAATGTTCTTTTATTTGATTGCTTTCGTTTTGTCAGCAATGCGAGTGCTAAAGATTGTTGGTGTCTCTTAATTTTTATCAATTGGGTTTGTTGTATTTGACTGATTTCTGTTGATTCAATGAGAAGATTGAATTTGTTTTTAGTTAGTTCTAGTTGAGTCATTTGTGTTGATTGGCCTAGTGATATGATTCTTGAACTATCAAACATTATGAAAATGAGACATTAGATTATCATGGATAACAAAAAATTAAGATTGTTTCAGTAAAATACAATTTCAGGTCTAATCTGTCTGTTTCACTGACTTTTTTGTAGGTTGATTGCATGGCAAGATTGTATTGAGCAAAGTCAATGACCCTGTAACTTTAAACTCGTTTAATTCTATTCTTGGATGGTATGCGGAAAGCTGATGACTTTGCTTTCAGCTAAGTTGAAAAGGGTACCAGTTTAACTGAAATTAGTGTCATGCATTCATGTCAAACAAGATCAAGACCAAAATTTTTTTTTTTTTTCCTTTTTTGTAAAAGGTTAACTAGTGAATTGACCGGATATAGTGTAAGCAAAAACTGAGCTACCCAAGTTTGAGGATCATATTTTGTCATCCATACTAACAGCTTCACTAATGTTTCTGAGGAGGGGTGATTGAAGCTCTGAGAGCATGCTAGCACTTCCAAGTGAAGCAACTTATATGGGAATCTCCTTATGCTCTATCGAAGGCTCAAAGTATATCATCTTATGCCCTATCAAAGACTCGAAGTATATCAATTGTGCAAGTAAATTAATGAATTGGTGATATTTTTTGTCTTTTCTATTTCATTTACTATAACATAAAATATGTTATTTTTGGAACTATTATATTCTTCTAGTATGTTTATTATTATTATTAATTATTTTATTATTAATAATTATATTATTGATTTGACTGATTGACCTACGATTAAACCAGTGACCTATTACACGATCCCTTTGCGGAATCCATGTCCGAGGCAGTTTTGAAAATTATGCTAATGTCCAAATGAATAATTGCATTCAAGTTCACTCCAACCTTTAAAAGTGCAATTGTGAAGTCAAGATCTTATAGATGAATAAATTGAATGAAGTCTTAAAGAGACAGCAAGAGAGTTAGAGATAAGGACAAAAAACCGGAGCAAGACAATGAGAGTTTGAGAGAGAGAAAAAGTTGGAAATANAGTTTTGAAAATTATGCTAATGTCCAAATGAATAATTGCATTCAAGTTCACTCCAACCTTTAAAAGTGCAATTGTGAAGTCAATATCTTATAGATGAATAAATTGAATGAAGTCTTAAAGAGACAGCAAGAGAGTTAGAGATAAGGATAAAAAACCGGAGCAAGACAATGAGAGTTTGAGAGAGAGAAAAAGTTGGAAATCGGTGGTGAGAGTAGAGAAAAAAATAGTAAAAAAGAATTGAGAAAGATTGTTACTTTTAAAGGTAGAAATTGTTACTTTTAGATTTTTTTAAAAGACTTTATATATATATATATATATATATATATAAGGCTTTACATAGACCTGTGAAAATATTTATTAATTTTAGAACTTTCTATAAAGTTTTAGATAGATTTCTGAAATATATTGGACCTTTAACTTGGTCTATTCAAAAGGGTCACAGAATACGAAACTGACTTAAGGGCTAAAAATTAAATTAGGGTTGTCTCCTCCCATTCAAATGATCAAAGTGTTTGTATATCTCGTAACAATTGTAGTCTCTGTTTGCACTTCATTATCGAGTCTTTGTCTATAGAACCGATTAAGTGAGACAAATTAATTCATGGATGATGCATAAGGATCAAAGGTAATATATGCGTTATTCCATATTTTATGCATTTTTTTAAATTTGTCAAAAATAATACGTGGACCGTATTCTTATAGTAAAGATGTTCAATGTTACAATGTGGTGTCGCATAATTTTTATTTTTAGTAATTTATACATTAATATATAATAAACATTACATATTATTTCATACTCATTTTATATGAGTGCAACTCTTCAATAATAAAATCATAGGAATTGTAAAACACCAAGTTTTATCATGCTCTTGCTAAAGGGGAGGCTGTGAGGAACAGGGTAAATAGGATTCAAAATGGTGATGGTAAATGGGATCTCACAGATGAGGAGATTGGTGGGGTGGCAGTGGAATTTTATTCTGGGTTTTATAAATCTGAACAACATGAATGTGAAGATGAGTTGTTCTCTATTGTTCCTCGGTTAGTAATGAGGAAAATGACAGAATTACAGGGATAGCCACTGTGGAAGAAGTGAGATCTGTGGTCTTTTCCTTGTCTGCACAAAGTGCACCTGGTGCTGATGGGCTATCTGGTAAGTTTTTTCAAGTGGCATGGGATGTGAATAAGCAGGATGTGGTGGATGTTGTGAAATTTTTCTTGAGAGGGGGGAAAGTACCTAGATCAGTCAATGCTACACTCTTAACCTTGATACCTAAAAAGTCTAATCCTATGTCTTTTGTTGATTTTAGACCAATTAGTTTGTGCAACTTTACCAAACTTTTGGCAAATAGGCTTGCTTCTTTGTCAACTGAACAGCATGGTTTTGTAAGGGGAAGAGGTATTAGTTTAGTTGAGTGTATTTCTCTGGCACAGCCTATTGGTGAGCTGGATAGGAAGGTGGAGGCAGACAATTTAATTCTTAATTTGGATATGATGAAAGCCTATGATAGGCTAGAGTGGGACTTCTTGTTGAGAGTTCTATCTAGTTTTTGATTTTCAGAGTTATTTGTAAAGATCATTGCTAACTGTTTGGAAAATCAGTACTTTTCTGTTTGTGTCAATGGGCAGAGGAGAGGTTTCTTTTCTTCTTTGAGGGGTCTTAGGCAAGGAGATCCTATTTCTCCTTACCTGTTCATCCTTGATGAAGAAGTACTAAGTAGAGGTTTGAGGAAATTATATCTGGATGGGTTGGTGAAAGGGTTTCATTTGGGAAGAGGTTCCTCTTTAGTCAGTCACTTGCTGTTTGCTGATGACACCCTGATCTTTTTGAGGGGTTATAAGCAGTCAATGGTGAATTTGTTTGCTTTTGTTAAAAGGTATGTGCTGAGTTCTGGGCAGAACGGTTAGTCTCCAAAAAAGTTCTATGTATTGTTCTAAGCATATTACTGTGGCAAGGAGGCAGGTATTGACTGGAGTGGCTTGTATACCTGTTAAACAATGTCCATTTACATATCTTGGTTGTCCTATTATAAAGGGAAGAGCTAGGATCAGATATTTTGAAGAGATATTGTTTAAGTTTAGGCAGAGGTTAGAAAGATGGTATGCAAGGATGTTATCACACATGGGTACGGTTTTACTTGTTCAGTATGTGCTGAGTATTGTTCCTATCCTTTTGCTGGCCTGCTTGGACTTGCCAAAGACTATCATCTCTAAGCTTAATGCTCTAATGGCAGGTTTCATTTGGTCTAATAAGATGAGTGTAAGGAAAAGACATTGGATTTCTTGGGGGAAGTTGAATTTGCCTAAAAAGGAGGGTGGTTTGGGATTGAGGAAGTTTGAGGAGGTGCAGATGCTTTTAGAATGAAACAGGTATGGAGTTTATTGCAAGGATCTTCTCTATGGGCCCAAGTCTTTTCTGCCAAATTCTTGCAGAGAAAGCATTTATTGAGATGCTAAGGGAAGAGTTGTTGGGGTAAAATTCCATAATTTTACAAATATTAATTACAACATAATTATAAAAACACAATATAACAAGAATTCAATCAAATATATAACACAATAACATGCGATTAGAACAGTGTAAGATAGATAATAATATATTAGAAAGAGCTAGTCTGTCATATCTAGGAGGGTGTGATCATTGTCCTAAAGCAGCTATGCCTCCCCACGTGAAGGTACTAACAGACATATGCAGATCCAAGATCCAAACCCAAATATGCACACAACAGCATCTTCTTAGGGGTCACGTCCACTCGAAGCTTGAGGTAAACTTGACTTGAATCAAAGTTGCCAAAAAACATAATCGGAAGATACATCTACAATATTTATGGAAAAAGAATACATACTACAAAAAAAAAATACTCCCATTAGATCACATGAGCTCCTTTTATATATGTTTGCCACTTAAAGGCATTCAAATGACCAATTAAAACAAAGTATAATTACTCATTTAAATCATATAAAAATCCAATTAAATCCTAAATTAAAAGTTATCCATTAAAGCATAAAAAATAAATTAAATGAGAAATTTTAAAGCTTTTATTTTTTTCAACAAGAGTCACTTTAAATGTCTTGAAATGCTTAGACCTTATTTTGAGAGGGTGGTGGTTCAGTCTAAAAAGATAGTTGGAAATGGTAGTCACACAGGTTTTTGGTGTGATAACTGGATAGGTGATGGTACTTTGTTGTGTAAGGTTGAGGTTTTGCCACAAAGTTTCCTAAGATTTCAGAATTGGTCACACTCAATGACAGTTGGGTGCAGTGGAGGGATTCCTGACTGAAGAACTCAGGGATGGGGTTGTGAATTCTGGTCTGATGTTATCTGGGATCTCTTATAAATTGGTGTGGCAGAGTTCTTGTGCTGGGAAGTTTTCTGTAAAGGCAGCTTGGCAGGAGAGTAGGATGAAAGGAGGTTTGAATGTTACTGCTGCTGGCATGTGGGGTATTCAGACTGCTCCTAGTGCCCAGCTAGTAGGTTGGAAGATTTTAATGAAGGCTCTGCCTTTGATGATAGAGTTAGGCAAATTGGCATTCCTGTGGTGAGTAGGTGTTGTTTGTGTTATCAGGAAGAGGAGAATGCTGAGCATTTATTTGTTGGGTGTGCCTACACATCTGCAATTTGGAGTAGGTTGGCTGGTTTAATAGGTTTTCAGCTTATTGGAAGTGAATGTCCTTTAGTGAGACTAAGAAGAATTTGTAGGGTATACAAGCAGCATTCAATGGCTCATGGTTTAGTTACTAGCATTCCTCTTTTGGTATTTTGGCAGGTTTGGAAGGAAAGATGCAGGAGAGTTTCTGGGGAAGGAAGGCTGCATTCTTACTCTGTTTTCTTGAAAATCTGCAGTATCATGAGGTATCAGGGGAGGAATGTGAGGGTAAAAGTGCAGGATGATAGGTATGGCATTGCCTTGCTGCAATGGCTCAAGGTGAAAGTTTCTTACGACTCTTACCAAGTTGTAAAGGCAATTTGGGTAAGCTGGGAATGGTCCTGGTGCTGGTCTTTTAAAGCTGAATGTAGATGGTGCTTCGAGAGGGAACCAGGTCCTGCTGGTGGTGGTGTTGTCTTGAGAAATGAATGGGGGAAAGTGGTTTTAGCTGGATCATTTTATTATGGTGTGGATACAAATATGGTGGCAGAGTTTTAGGCTCTGTTAGATGGTTTGAGGATGGTGAGGGAGTATGGTTTGTTTGCCTGTAGAATCTTTGATTGAATCAGATTCTCTTGTCTTAGTGAATTCTGTTTTGGGGAAGAGTGAATGTGCTTGGAATTGTTTAGGATTTCTTGCTCAGATTAGCTTTTGGGGCAGATGGAGTTCCAGCTGAGGCATGTATACAGAGAGGCAAATTGTGTGGCAGACTGCTTGGCGAAGACAGCAGTGCAGGACAGCTTCTCAGCAGATTATTCTGGTCCTGTTCAGCTGCCTAATCCTGTGAAGCATCTGCTGATGCAAGACTGCAGGAAGCTCCCAGTTTTGAGATCCAAGAATGTATTGGCGTGCAGATTTGGGTGTTGATGCTGATAATAGCAGGAGGTGGTTGTTTGGTAGTTTTTTATACTTGGTATTGTAAAATGATTGGACCAAAGTGGTCTATTCTTGGTTTTTGTAATTCTTTGAGGTATTGCCAAAATGGCCTTATCTTCTTGATTCTTGTGTTAATTGAATAATATTCTTTTTTTCTTAAAAAAAAAAAAGGGTTGAGGGTTTTAGTTTTAGGGATGTATGTCTAACTTTCAACAATTTGTGACATACATACTCATCCACCCTCTGATTGGCCTGCAGTTTTTTGTCCCCGGCACAGAGAGCAATGACACCAGTATTGCATCTGAGAAGCAAACTAGTTACCNTTGTGACATACATACTCATCCACCCTCTGATTGGCCTGCAGTTTTTTGTCCCCGGCATAGAGAGCAATAACACCAGTATTGCATCTGAGAAGCAAACTAATTACATTACCTACTTCTTCAAGCACTTTTGTGCTGACTTTCAGGAGCTCCAAGGCTGAGGGATACCTTGTGAAGTTTCTGAATCCTCCAATTGGTAGAGGTAGGACTGTCTTTTTAGTGAAGAGTCATGTCCATTGCCTTCAGCTGCATCAGTAGGGTTGTTTTCATTCGAACCCAAAGAGAAGGAAAGGGAAGCCCGAAGGTGGTCTGAATAGCCTAGGGTTTCCAATTTTCAAAAAACCTTGGACTGTAGACTTAGCAGTGACCAAACCATCTTTCCGTTTGGAAATTTCTGAGTTATAGGGTGGAACTGGATCCAGCATCCAGGCTGCCCATTCACTCTTCGTGTCAAACAAAGCTTAACTAAGAGAAGTGCTGACTCCTCTTCACTCTTCACGTTTTGATTGCTAAAAAAAACTGACCAGAACAACAATAGAAGGCCACCTTCAGGCATTTGGGTCCATTTTCTGAACCTGTTTCTAGTGGCGGGCTTATTCATAGCTGCAGCAAGTAAATTTGCTGAAATGGTTGCTGGGGCAAACCAAACTCCTACTTGAAGCAGTCTTGGAAATTTGCAGCTCCTCAAGCCCTTCTAGTTCCTTCTCGGCAACACTCTTCCTTCCATGCTTTGCCCTCAAAATTCTTGCAGCTTTCAATACACAGGTTCTGCACTTACTCTCATTTGCTTCCAGATTAAATTCATGAGACTTGATTAGTCCATCAATTGCTTCTTTGCCATATTTATTGCCTGAATTGTGGTTAAGAAAACCTGCAATATCATTCTGGTCAATGTGTGGATCAGATTCTTATGTTGAGCAAAGAATCTCATCTCCTCCAAGCTTAGATGGTTAAGGATGTTAACTAGCGACAACCAAACCCCAAACATAACTGAGCAAATGGCCAGATCAGTAATCTGCTGGCTCTAATTATCTGAGTACTTTGCCCTGGCTGTGACAAAGCAAGCAATGCCCTGAGCTCACTCTCCGATTCAATCCATTTGCAAAAGCCTGATAAATTGTGGTTCTGACCATGGAGGGCTATGAATGCATCACAGCCTCCTGAGTTTGGCATTTGAAGAAGGTGTAACAGAGCCTTTTCCAAATGAAATTCAAGGGACGGAAAATGGAAATGAAATTAGAGGTGCAGAGTCCGGGCCTGAAACTGAACACTGTTCACAATTTTGAGCTTAGTATTGGTGGGGTCATCAGAAAAACCATATTGTGCCATTTTACAAATCATATGGTTCAGGTGGGGGAGTGTAGGGGTTGGACGTTATTCAACTGGGAACCACAGTATGAAACAGGCGTGGGAAGGTGGGTGAGGGTTAGTGCAGTGGGGGAGTACGATTTTCAGGCGTTGGATTTGAGACTAAGGTGGCTATATGTAAGGTGACTGTAAGGCTGAAACAAATGCCGGGGATGGAGTAGAGATTGGAGAAGGAGAGTTATATGGTGATGATGCTACCAAATTCACTACTATGTTAGGTGAAAGAGAACCTGAAGAAGGAAAAAAGTAACTTGGAACATCCTTACCCGGAAGTTGTTACCTTGATGATTAGGGCCTTGGTATCTGTGGCTGGAATTTTGTAAGGAAGTTCACCAGGTAGTTGTGCTTTTCATGCCTATTCAAACAACGAATGATGACCCTCCAAAAGCTTGGTTTGGTGTTGTTGAGTCTCAATATGTTCAATAAGGGGAAGAAAGATTTAAGGTTTACTTACCAGGTTAGATATTTAACTCACTGAAACATTTGAGCAATGTGGAAGACCGTTAGAAGAGGTTACTTTGATTTATCAGTATGAATTTATGATTAAAGATGCGAAAGTGCCATAGCTTTCCAGAACCCATCATGCTGCAACCCCAAGAGGGGTACTCAATGTTTAGAGTTAGATGTAGCTTAGTTTAAGTCATTTTGATGCCATCAGAAACCACTTGGACTAGGTTCATGGGGGTTTCAGTTTATATTTTTATGTGCACACAATTGCCAATTTGCCATGCTGATGTATGTTAACCAAGAAATCTCCATCTTAAAAGAGTTTTAATTATTATATCTCTGTTCACTTAAGTCTGCGTTTGATTGATATGATCAGCTTAGGTTTGTTTTCTTTGTTTTTGGCCATACAATGATCTGCTTAGTTGTTAATAGATTGCAGATTAGCCAGCTGAGCTGATGTGTGGAACTTCCGGGAATTCTTGTTGGCAGCCAGGTAGTTCATTAGTTATTTGAATTTGCTTCAAAAAAATATATAATAAGCATATGAAAGATATTGATTTTCTACATGACATAGCCTCTACGGTACCTCTCGTCTTGGCCTTTGTTCGCTCTATCACATTACTTTGTGATATGGTATTGTATTGATAAAGTATATCCAAGAAAAAAATTTAGTAAATATGCACTTTTCGGCGACGATATTGTCATCAGAGAGACTGTGGTTACTACCTCTTATTGAAACAAATTTGACTAACAAACAAAATATTAATTAACCCTAATAAAAGTAGATCNTACCTCTTATTGAAACAAATTTGACTAACAAACAAAATATTAATTAACCCTAATAAAAGTAGATCACTTGGTATCTCAGGGTTGGTGGTGGGTAAACCAAATAAAAGATTGATCTTTAGTAAATGTATTTCCAAAAAAAATCCCATCAAATTGCAATAATAAGAAAATAAAAACAAAGAAATTACATAGATAAGTTGGTCATGGCTCGTGCAGTCACGTGCGTTCCAGATCAGCAGCAGTCAGGCTCAGGCATCACAACTATTCTCTGTTTCTTTCCATGTGGGCCACCACCCTCATGTGGCCCATCAATTACCAACTCACGGTCCAAACAATAACACCTAATATTCAAATTTTATAATTCTCATACAGTTTTTCTTTTTCATGGGTACAAAATTCCAAATCCACCGCGTTGCTAGGGTTTCCATCTTCATCAGCTGTAATTAGCTGTATCATTATGAAGAAAAAAGGTATGCTGCTGAACCCAGCATTCATTTGAATTTGGATTTATTTCATTACAATTTTTTACTGTCCGCGTACTTTGAATTCGTCTCACCCTTTCCACTTCAATTTGTCTTCGAAATTCGAAAATTGAATGATTGACTTGCATTGAATTCCACTTGGTATCCAATGCGAAGTTACCCAAACTAAGTAACTGATAGTTTCTGGATTTTTGCTAGATTTGGTCCCCGTGAGCTGGAATGATGGTTGCTTGTTCTCGATCTTGATCTGAATTTTGGGTTTTGGGGGTCCTCCTGCAGTCATACGAATTCGTCATTCGATACAAAGCCTAGGCTTTTTTTCTCATAGGAATGGATTTGGAAAGTGGGTGTTCGTCACTTGAATCTAGGGAAGATGATGAAGTTAGAACCCCTGGTAAATTGGTTAATTCTTCTGACGACACCACCAAGATTGCAAACAATGGCTCCTGCGTTGTTGTTGATGATAAACTAGTGGAAAATGCAAAAGGGAAGGGGATTGAAGTTACGGAGTTAGTGAATTCACCTCCGACGATCGCGTCGCCTTTGGGGACAGCCATGAAAGGCTATGGGTTGAAGAAATGGAGACGGATTAGGAGGGAAGTGAATACTGATGGGAGCATTAATGTAGATAGTAGTAAGATATTGAAGCGGGGTTTGTCGAATACGGCTGCCAAATCAATCAAAATTTCGCATTTTTCTGCTGATGTGAAGCAAAAGAGTGCGGGCTCCATTTCGTCAACAAATGCAATGGTGAGAAGTCCGGGAGCTGTGGTTGATGGTTTCATCATGATTGGCGATCCTGGGTCAGCAGTTGGACCCACCTTTAATGCCCGGGAAGATTCCGAGAGCAGCGAGGATCGGAGCAGCAGGTCTTCCACGGCAGCGAGCGCTCCAAAGATGAGGTGTGAGAAACCTGCAGGGGCACGGGATAAGAACAGGAGGAGTCTGAGTGGGAAGAATATGGCTAATTCGGTGCAGCGGAGTCAGCAGGGGAAGGGTCAGATTGAAACGAGTAAGAAACCTAGAGGTGAATTGATCAAAATCGAGAAGGAAAACTCTCATTCCAGCATGGAATCTGACTCGCGAAGCTCCAACTTTGTCTTTATGCAAGGCACTGATTCTGTGACCAGTAATGGGAGACAAAGTGGAATGCCAATGAACTATGATGGAGAAAATAGTGACGAAGCTCAGGGCTGTGATCAACAGTTTAGTGAGGAATTTCAAATTGGTAATGGCAGAAAAGAGATGGGAGAATTTGAAGAGGTGTTTCAAGAAAATTTAGGGGTTGACTTGTCTTGGGAGGCTAAGGAAGAAAAAAGCGAGAACCAGAGGTCCTCTTCAGATAAGGATTCTCTGGTTGAGTCCATCCTTTCACTCCAGTCTGTGCAGGATGCGCTTGAAAAAGGTGGGTGTGTCTTCCTTCATTGCGGGCTTTGATAATTATTATTGTCTTGTCTCCTTATGGTTTTTTTTTTTTTTNGTGAGGAATTTCAAATTGGTAATGGCAGAAAAGAGATGGGAGAATTTGAAGAGGTGTTTCAAGAAAATTTAGGGGTTGACTTGTCTTGGGAGGCTAAGGAAGAAAAAAGCGAGAACCAGAGGTCCTCTTCAGATAAGGATTCTCTGGTTGAGTCCATCCTTTCACTCCAGTCTGTGCAGGATGCGCTTGAAAAAGGTGGGTGTGTCTTCCTTCATTGCGGGCTTTGATAATTATTATTGTCTTGTCTCCTTATGGTTTTTTTTTTTTTTCTAGGCAAGAGTAACATTGGTGTTGGAATCATAGGATTCTTTGAGATGTGTTTTGTTTTTTTCTCTTTCTGGGTCAGTGTTTCTTAATATTTGACAATCTCGACAATAATCAGAGTCAATCAAGTATATAAAAAAGGGTTGTCTGGTGCACAAGCCTCCTACCAATGTATTGGGGGAGGGTTACATCCCGCATGATTAAAAAATATAATGTTTTTATTCTACTTCTTCCTGAAGTTATCTAAGTGGGGGAGTCCCAAAAATTTGAAAATATGAAATAGATATCATTCTATTAATGGAAAGGTCAAAACTATGGTAGCTTTAGATTTTTGATTATTTCATAATTAGTAAGCTTGAAAAACTAAGAACGGAGGGAGAATTAATATAGCTGTTAGATTAGAAACTCAAAATTTGCCTCATTTTGACTCCTTCACAAGAAGTTAATCCTTTTAGCAAAGATTGATATGTCAGATTAATGGATTCAAGAGACCAGAATGTGGTTAAGGCAAGGGGTTGAGGTAACTAAATAAAGCTTGCATATAGTCTTCCAATTTTCAAAATTACTTGATAGCAAACAACAAGCTAAGAAATACATTAGAACATTTCATTGTTAGTTAAAATTGAGTTGGTGGGACTTGGGAAGTTGGGATATATCAGATATTTGAACTAACATAGTTGAAGGAAAAGATCCACATGCTAAGACTTGGTTGTATACCTTTGTGGGAGATTCTTACTTTACCATGCAGACCTAAAACATTTTTAGTTTTCCATAATACAACTTCCCAAGTGGGGAAAGGTGTTAGTGTTGAGTAAGAATTGGTTTCAAGAGGCCAATATATTGCTAAATGGATAAAAAATTTATAGGCAAATATATTGCTAAAGGGTAGTTACAGTGTTGTAAACGTTGTATTTCACTTTCTTGTTTTTTTGTTTCCGCTGCACCTGCAAATGAGAGGGTTATTGTAAAATTAGGTAATGCTTTCCGTCCTCCTTTCTCTCGAACTCAACTAAACACCAGAAGGAAAAACACAGCTTCCTTTCTTAAGGTTACCTCTTCCACCCATCATACCGTCCCTCCTTTACTTTCCCACCCTCCTAAGGGGGCTGCTTTACTATTTTACAGAAGACACTCCAACTCCGTCCTCTAGCCATCCTACTATGCTCCTACTGTCTGCTTCAAAAGTAGTGATGTGAAGCTGAACAATTGCGTGAGATCCTGTGTAAACAATATTGAATGGACCTCTATTCACTTAGAACCTGTGATACATGCAGTTGGGTGGACCTCTATCTAATTCCTCCAGATATGCTGAGGAATTCATTGCTGTCTTTCTTCTTCTTGTTTTTTGCTTTTTTGTTGGATGGTCTTTCTTCTAGTTTTATGGAATGAGTTCAGTTTTTTTTTTCTAAGTGAATCTTGTGTACTTTGCAGAAGTTCAGAAATTAAAAGACATTGGCAAGGAAGATATTTCTGTCTTCAATGGTAGTAGTTCACCTTCAAAGTTCCCTTATGATGACCCAGAAGTCCATGAACAAAGTTCGTCCGACCCATTGCTATGTGATGAGAGTGGACAAAGTGCCTCTCATCCATTTGAAACCCAGTTGGTTAGCTTAAAACGGAGTGTCAATTCTTTGGAGAGCAAGCTGGCGGAGGCAAGGGTCATGCTCCAAATGAAGGAAGCCAAGATTACTGAACTTGAAGCCACACTAGGTAGGAGCATGTCTGCAAAGGAAGAATCAGGGAGCACTGTAGGGTTGCAACAAGAAAAATATAGAGGGGTGGAGACTGAACTTGAGGGCCTCTTCAGTCAAAAGATTGAATCTGAGGTTCAGTATTTAGCAATATCGAGAACCGTCCAAAATTTGAGAGTTGCAGCAGTGGATCAAATCACACTTCTGGAAGAACAAAAAACTCTTGCTTTGGAGCAGGCCCAGATGCTGAACAAGCTTGGATATGTAGAAGGAAAGGCTGCCATGCTAAAAAGGGAAGCTGAAAAGTTGGAGACTTATTGTGAAGATATTGTCGCTGCCGATGACGTTTTGAGGCTTCAGAAGAAGATTTGTAAGTTTACTTGGTGTTTCTTTATACAGTTGATGTTGCTGGTTGTTATCCTGGCACTTTTTGTGTTCAAGTTATCACCCCTTAATGCTGGGGTGGTGGTACCCACCTAATTTTGCAGACTGTGAGTCATTTTGTATTATTCAACCTTCCCTTAAGCAAAATGTTTTGATGTTAGTTTGTTAGAAGTTGATAAATATATCAGATTCCGAGTCTGTTCCCATATAACAGCAATTCTCAACATCAAAAGTTGAAGATACATTCTTATTCAGTAAATTTTGCCCTATGGCCTCGATAGTTGTATGTGCCCAGCTAAAACAAGTGGTGTTTGCTGCTGATAACAATAATTCTTCGAATAAATTATTAAGTATTTTAACAAAATATATATATATATATATATATATTGTAGTGGTAATGGGTGTTGTTGCAAGGTGACATGTCACAATGATTTATCAGCTGTCAATTATTTTATTTTTTTCTTGCTTTGAGTGATTGCTCTAGCTGACCCTTTAGTATATTTTCATAGNCAGCTGTCAATTATTTTATTTTTTTCTTGCTTTGAGTGATTGCTCTAGCTGACCCTTCAGTATATTTTCATAGGGAAACAGGTTCATATGCTAAATGCTGTAGTTTTGATGCTCGCATAAATCTGTTAATCAGTCTAATAATCCAAAGTATTTAGTTAACACTATAGTTTTCGATTAATGATGTGCAAAATTAAAATTACCAGTAGCACGCCATGCATATTGAGGTACCGAGTAAAAACACTTTGTTACATTGTTTCCTATTGAACATTAGTAATTTCAAGTTTCAACTTATTTTGTAATCAAGTATTCGTTTTCGAAGTTTGATTTTACTGCTTTCAATGAAACTACATTGTATAGGCAGGGGTTCTAAGAATCATGAGTTACTATCGTGCTTATAAGTAGATTAAGCAAGTCTTTTTGTTTTTTCAACCGTTAGGAGTCTGGATCAATTTACACGTATCTTATTTAATCCCCTCTCCGTTCCGGTAAAAGGCAGGTCAAGGGATAAATCCTTCATAGTCTAGTCCTAAAGGGTAGTCAAANGATCAATTTACACGTATCTTATTTAATCCCCTCTCCGTTCCGGTAAAAGGCAGGTCATCTACATTGGAACTAAGGTATTCATGAGGGATAAATCCTTCATAGTCTAGTCCTAAAGGATAGTCAAGNTTGTTTTTTCAACCGTTAGGAGTCTGGATCAATTTACACGTATCTTATTTAATCCCCTCTCCGTTCCGGTAAAAGGCAGGTCAAGGGATAAATCCTTCATAGTCTAGTCCTAAAGGGTAGTCAAAATTCAAACTCAGGATGTTTAGATTTACGACTCGTAATTAAACAAGTTTATTGACTCCTATGGGAACAATAATGCATTAATCTAGGATAAAACTTTTGCTCTCCTGTATTATCCTTTCACAAAAACGAAGAACCTTTTGGTTATTGGTAGTAGCAGTACTATAAAATCACATGATTCATGTCCACTACGACACATTCATTAGGCATTCAAACGTCATATAATAAAATAATTAGTGGCTTGATGTCATATAAAGGCCCAAGTTGGCCTAGATTACTAATAATAATCTCAATTAGATAGAATATGTACCNTGTCCACTACGACACATTCATTAGGCATTCAAACGTCATATAATAAAATAATTAGTGACTTGATGTCATATAAAGGCCCAAGTTGGCCTAGATAACTAATAATAATCTCAATTAGATAGAATATGTACCCCATTTTTAGTCAAAGAATGATCTTTTATACAAGTCGAGACAAGAGTGCACTCCAACTTCGAGTTAGATCATCTCCCGATATACTTACAACAATAAATTATACATGATATATATATATATAAACTTGNTATGTGTTACTTCTTTACTCTATGCTCCCACTACTCCCATTCCCTTCTAAATCACCCCACCGAGTTACCACTCTCTCTCTCTCTCTCTCCTTTCTCCAATATTTATCTCATCCAACACGCATGTTAAAGAGATTGATTCTCGTCCTNGATACGATACAATTCAATGTCAACTTTAATTTTTAAACGTCTTCAATTGGAAAATAACTTAAAAGTGAAAAACACCTGCCAAGGATATAGATTCTTTTGAACTTGGAAAAAAGTAAAAAGTAAAAAAGAAACGAAAATATATAATTAGTGGTATTATGCATAATATTTAGCAATGTCGTTTGGTATGAGAAGGGCAAGGCAAGTGAAAGACTTGTTGCAATCTCCTGTCCTTTTATTTGCATCAGCTCATTGTCGATGCAAAAAATGGAAAAATAATCTAATTTTTACATGGGGCCTCCACTTTTGCATCGACTCTGTGACTCAAAAAAGATTACTTTTTGCTTTAGATTCAAATGTCGANTGTTGCAATCTCCTGTCCTTTTATTTGCATCAGCTCATTGTCGATGCAAAAAATGGAAAAATAATCTAATTTTTACATGGGGCCTCCACTTTTGCATCGACTCTGTGACTCAAAAAAGATTACTTTTTGCTTTATATTCAAATGTCGACTCCAAAAAACTTTTTTGCATTGGTATATAGCCCACCCCAAAAAAAAAAAAAAAATTGACGTAAAAAGGATTTTTTCTTATAGTAAATTAAGTTTACCCTTCAATGTCACATTACTTATCCCTCAAACGTGTAACACAATAATTATGCTATGAAAAAAGACCATGTTATATGATTAAGGAAAATGCTATTTGAATTTAATTTGAGAATCTAATGAATTATACCTGTTGGATTAAAAGTAGACTTCATATAACATTTGAACTTATAACTAATTCAAGCCTTAGGGGTACTAGTTCAGTGGCTGAGTTTGGCCTCCGATAATTCAAAATTCTCAAGTACAACACTTTTCATATCTCTAAAGACTAAATGTCTTTATTCCTCAAGGGACATGTTCTAAACTCGCTCAGNTCAATGTCACATTACTTATCCCTCAAACGTGTAACACAATAATTATGCTATGAAAAAGGACCATGTTATATGATTAAGAAAAATGCTATTTGAATTTAATTTGGGAATCTAATGAATTATACCTGTTGGATTAAAAGTAGACTTCATATAACATTTGAACTTGTAACTAATTCAAGCCTTAGGGGTACCGGTTCAGTGGCTGAGTTTGGCCTCCGATAATTCAGAGTTATCAAGTACAACACTTTCCGTATCTCTAAAGACTAATTATCTTTATTCCTCAAGGGACATATTCTAAACTCGCTCAAATAGCATTACATTAAGTCAAAAAAAACTCACACCCAACTCAATGATTGTATTACATTTATTCTCTAATTATATCCTCAAATCAGTCCTTATTCCATTACTCTTAAGATTTAACGCTAAATGGCATGTGCAAGGGGATTTCTGAGTGTCAATATGAGCAAGTAGCGCTGTAGCAGTAGTTCTATATGGGACTATGAAGAAAATCAGATGGCATGAAGAAGGTGGTAAGGTATGATAAAGTCAAAAATGATTCGTATATAAAGCTTTGTTTTCATAAGGTTCACGAGAATGAGTCAAGAAAACAGTTGAGCTCTCCTTTTTCTCATCGGCAATAAGAAGTATGTGTTACTTCTTTACTCTATGCTCCCACTACTCCCATTCCCTTCTAAATCACCCTACCGAGTTACCACTCTCTCTCTCTCTCTCTCTCTCTGTCTCTCTCTCCTTTCTCCAATATTTATCTCATCCAACACGCATGTTAAAGAGATTGATTCTCGTCTTCGAAGCAGTGCTCGAACGGAGCACTGTGTCTGTGAGTTGGTCACGCACACACGCATACGTATGTGTGACCAACTCACAGATTCTAAACTTAATAAATAAGATTGCACCCTGGAAGGGGCCGTGATGGTTTGGTATGATTTGTTTCTTTTGACTTGGTCATAAGTCAAGAACTAAGTGGAGAGACTGCTCCTTGAATTGGACAGAAAACTGAAAACCAACAGAATTTTATAATCTAAACATGTAATTATTTGAAAGAAAGGAGTGTAAGACTGTAATTATTTGTTCAGACCGTGGCATATAATTTTCTTATAACTCTTTTTCTATAGTTTTGGGAGATAATTCCACATCTTTGTCCAGACATTAAGACCTTTTCAAATGACCCCACCAAGTGTTCTTTGTGGAATATACACCAAGTTCCTGCTCTTTAAAGGGTAGCTTTGAGGGAGTTCTATGTTCTTTAATTTTAAAAACTTATAAAATATTAATGAATAAACAAGGGAAAAGTTGAATCTTGCAAGGAAAGTTAGAAGGGGTGTGTGTGCTGGTAGAGGGGTTTATTGACTTTTGCCCCATCCTTCTTTCTTTGATGACCATCTCCTTTCTGGACACTACTACCCACTTTTAGTGATGTTTTCTGGGTCACTAATTTTCATCAACCACTTAAATAATGATTAACAAAAGGGAAAGATTATGGTATCGAAGGAAGATGGTATCAAAAACTACAAGCAAATAAGGCTAGTTACAATTTATTTAGGCTCCTTTTATACATCAAAAGACTAATTACAACTCAATAGCTTCAAGTTACAAGTTTTTAAAAAAAAAAAAAATTTAATACTAAACAATTCTATTTTGTCGTAAGTCGTACATTCACTCTTATTTTATAACAACTTCGATATAATATTGAAGAGTTATCCATTAGTATTCGTTGTACGCCACTGACTACTTAATATTTGAGCACATTCAATCTGAAAATGTGTATATATATGTGTGTGCGTGTGTGTGTGTGTGTCACGTATTGAGGAGAAGAGCTTCCAAGTAATGGAACAAAGAAATTAAAGTCCATATCCCAAAGGAACTTTAATTGAAAAGGAACCATAAGTATATGCAGCTTCTGTGCATTATCATTCTATTCTACACCAAAGAAAAAACAAAAGGCTTTGGATCTTTCCTTGACAGCAAGCAAGCCTGTTAGACTATCATACTTTCCATGAAGAAAATAAACACAAGAAGACAAAGGCACTGAAGACCCCATTCGAGAAAACAAGAAAGAACCTGGATGGTTCCTCTGTGCAACTGAGTTCCCACCACTGCTACCAAAAAATCAGCAAACCAGAACTTACCCAAAGTACTAAACTGTCAACA